ACCTTCATCTGTACCATTCTTCTAGAGTCCACATATATGTGTATGTGTTAATAGACACGGATGGACCTAGACTCTGTCATACAGAGTGAAGTAAGTCAGAAAGAAAAAAACAAAGTCTACCTTTTAAACGCAAGGACAGGTGGTCCCCCATCCCTCCCCCACGGAGCGCCACCTGAGGAGAAAGCCCACCTACAGAAACACCAAGGAGAGACAGCGGCCCGATGGGAGCTCTTCACACCCCGGATCCACCTGTGCCTGAAAGGCACCTTAGACTCCTTGGTACAGGAGCAAATTGTCTCTTTTTCTTTTTCTCCTTAACCTATTTTGAGTTGGATTGTCCATCCCAAGTCTTCCCCAGGTGGCACTGGTGGTAAAGAACCCGACTTCCAAAGCAGGAGATCAAAGAGACTCTCGGATTCGATCACTAGGTCGGGAAGACCCCCTGGAAGAGGAAATGGCAACCCACTCTAGTATTCTTGCCTGGAGAATCCCACGGACAGGCTGTCCGTCATAAGCCCCATGACGGATGCACAGCAGGCCACAGTGACCCTGCCCAGGTGCTGCGTTTCAGCAAGACCCAGTCCCCCGGAGTGCTATGAAGGCGAACCTAGCGGTTCAGCAAAGAAGGAGCTGGTGGTGGGCGTGAGGCTGGAGCGTCCACACAGGGGCCGTGGGGAGAGCACCTCTCCGGGCTCAGATTGCTCACCCACAGAAGAGACGGTTAGGCTCGGGGTCTCTGTGGCCGCTCTGTTCACGTTCCCTAATTCTCTAAGTTTTCATTCCAAAGGAAAAATAACACTAGCTAGCACTCACAGAGCCCTCAGCACAAGTCAGGCACTGCTCGCACACGAATTCATTTCATCCGTGTAACAGCTCTCTGAGGGGTATGACCATCCCCACTCTACAGATGAAGAAACTGAGGCACAGATGCTCGAAGGCCAAGCTTGTAAGTGCAAGAGCTGGAATGAGACCTGGGTTTCCCTGATGGCTCAAGTGGTAAAGAATCTGCCTGCAATGCAAGAGACTCAGGAGACACGGGTTCGATACCTGGAAGATGTTCTGGAGGAGGAAATGGCAACCCACTCCAGTATTCTTGCCTGGGAAATCCCATGGACAGAGGAGTTTTATAAAAAATAAAATAGTGGCAAAATATACATAAAACTTAGGGACTTCCCTGGTGGTCCAGGGCTTCCAGGTGGCACTAGTGGTGAAGAACCCACCTGCCAATGCTGGAGACATAAGAGATGCAGCTTCCATCCCCGCATGGGGAAAATCTCCTGGAGGCAGGTACGGCAACCCACTCTAGTATTCTTGACTGTAGCTTGGCGGGGGCTACAGTCCAGAGGTTCGCAGAGTCAGACAGGACGGGAGTGACTTAGCACACACACACTAGTGGTCCAGTGGCTAAGGCCTCACCTTAAAAAAATGGTCCACATCAAAATACATATTTAAAAAAAAAAAAGACCTGGGATGAGATCCAAGCAGTCTGGCTGCAGGGCTCTTGCTGATGACCACTGCTGAGCGCCTTGACCCCCTCCTCTGATCGTTCGATTCACAGGAAATTCTCCTGTGTCTGACTTGATCTCTCAGTCTCTTTCTCCAGTTCTCCCTAGTCCTTTCCTCCCCAGACTTACTATATGAGCTGCCGTTACTTTAAAATCTTTTCTCTCTAAATTGCCTCTCACATGGCCCCCTGTGTAAATCCCATACAGCTGAAGGCCTTTGTTCAGGAACCAGGTCAGGCGGAGGCCTGCGGCAATGGGGTATCACAGAGTGTTTCCAAGACCAAAAGCCCTGCAGGGGAGGGGCTGTTAGGGGGCAGAATCTGAAGTCTTGCAGGAGACACCGCGCCCTTGGAGACTCGGACACCTGGACTGCCCGTCTCCTGTTTGCAAAATCCCACCACGGGTGTTCATTTCATCTTCTCAAGGTTCCATTAGATAGTTTTCATTCACCACCATCACCACCACCACTATTTATAGATGAGGAAACCTGCTCTGATATTCTAGCTGATAAACAGTGAGATTTACAATCACATCTGACTTCAAAGCTCATGTTCTTCCGACTAGGTTACTAAATAAACATTTTCAATTACCACCCAGTGCTGGACACTTCACAGTTGATGACTAGTTTCGAAGGTGGGAACTGGCCTCAAACACGGCAGCTTCTTTGTCTGGGAAGAAGCTGAAATCAACCCGTGGTGGGTGAGAACCATACCAGGTGGACTGAGGAGAGGCCCCCCACCATCAGAGCAGCAGCATGAGATGGGACCGCTGTGCCCGGGAGCTGGCAACTAAGGGGCTAGCTCTTCTGTAACAACAGCCTCATCCCACCGCCGGGGTACGTCAGTCTCAAGGACAAGTGGTTGTCGTCCAGTCGCCCAGTCGTATCCGACTCTTTGCGGCCCAATGGACTGCACCATGCCAGCCCTCCCTGTCCCTCACCAACTCCCGAAGTTTGCCCAAGTTCATGTCCATTGCATCTGCGACGCAACCCAGCCATCTCATCCTCTGACGCCCTCTTCTCCTTCTGCCCTTAATCTTTTCTGATAAGTGGACCTGGCAGCTCTTTGACGGGGGTGTGAGGACTCCTGTGACAGTGCTCCCACTGCCACACCCAAGGCAGGAGCTGGGGAGGGTTTGAGCTCTAGCTACAGAGGCAGCTCTGGAACAAGTCCAGCACCCCCCTCTCCAGCAGTTCCAGGGGTCCCCCCCAACCGCACCCTAGAAGGTATCCAATAACTCAATCCTCCTGGGGCATTAGATGCCCTCTCTGGGGAAGCAGGGCTCTGGGCCTGCAAGGAAGTTTCTGGGAGGCAGACCTTGTCTCAGCACCGGGAAGAATTTTCTAGGTTCAAAGGGGTGCAAAACTGGGACCCAGCCTTGAGCCACCTCCAGGGCTGGAGCTTCTGACAGTGTTAACAGCTCCAGGATTGCTGTGGAGCTCCAAGCCGCTGCTTACCACCCACTCCAGTTCCACCTCTGCCAGGACACGGCCTCTGCCACGTGGTTCACACGACAAATAAGGGGCACAGTCCTCCGTTCAGCCCCGAGCTGGTTGCCCGTCGCTGCTCCCTCTCAATGGGCCACCAGTCAGCGCACTGACTCAGTGACTGTCCCCTCCAGCTTCATGTCAGCCTGCCCTTTGCCCACAACGGGAGGCTCTCACACTCAGGGCAAAACTGGTTACTTCTATCAACATCCCTTCTAGGGCCAACCAAGGAACCTTGTCAAGGTGGTGGCCTTGCCCGCCCTCTCCACCAAGGGGTCGCCTTAAGAGAAAAAACCAGGGGCGGCTCATTTCCAAGCCGGTTCTGCTGTAGGCCCTTCAGCAATTTTTCTAGCCCCATTGTCCCACAGAGGCACATTCAGAAAACACATTCTCCTGGTCTCACCCCTACCCTTTGCCACTTACCATGAACTGGCTGCTATTTCAGTAAAAATAATTGATGACTAACCTGGTGGGCCACTTTCTTTCACAAGTGTTGAAGTTTCAGGAAACTGAGACCCAGAGAGATTGAAGATTCTGGGCCTCACTTTCCCCATCTGTAAACCAGCGATGATATTCCCTCGGAAAATGCTTGTCAGGATGAAACGAGTAACTGCAGGTAAGGAGTTGAGAACTTTGCCTGGCACGTAGTAAGTGCTGACTCAGTGTCATTAACTATTACTATTATTACTGTTGCTGTTCGCTCATGCCTCCGGGGCCTGGCCCTAGAATTTCCTCTTTGGCTCCCTGGGCTCAGGGGGTCCCTAACCTTTCAGAAACAGGAGCGTTTTGGGGGGTGCTGGTGAGTACCAACTTTCCTTCCAATGTCCAAGAGCCCATCAAGCCATCAGCATGGGGGAGGTGGGGGGCGGGCTCCATTCGGGAAGGGACCGGGGAAGGGAAGGGGCTCCGCCCTCCAAGCTGGCCGTGCCCTGCGCGCTCGGACCGCAGCTTCCCCGCAAACCAGGGCCTGGTCCAAGCAAGCCCAGCAAGACCGAGGCTCCGGCGGAGGAAAACGAGAGCCATCCCACGCTGGCTCCCGGAGTCCCTGCGACATCGAATTAGAGATTCCTAATACCCGAAATCGAGCGGTGGGCGCGCCGGGGATCGTCCTGTTCCCGGCTCCGCCGTCCGGCTCGGGTACCCCGTGAGCGGCTCGGGGCTGGGAGGGGCGCGTCCTCCCCGCGTTCCGCCCGGGAGGAGCCGGGAGGAGCGGGCCCCGCGTCGGGCGCTACGCGGGGCTATGGCGGCCCCTAGCGGTGACCGAGGGAGGCGGCCTACAGGCCCCGGGCCCCGGGCCCCCGGGCCCCCGGCCCCCGCGGCTCCGGACCGCCTTGGCCCCGCCTTCCCCGCGGACGCGCGCCCCGCTCCTCCGCCCCTCCCGGGCCCAGTCCGGACGGCCCGCGGACCCGGACTCACCGCACCGGGACGCCTGTCCTCCTCCGGGACGCCTGTCCCCGGCCACCTGCCGGCCTCCCAATGCGCGCGGCTCCCGGTGGCCGTTCTGGGCACGCGGCGCGGGACTGATGGAGAGCCTCCCGTGGGGACCGCACGGTCCTCGGCCCCACGCCGTCGCCTGGCTTCTGCGGGCCCGAAATTCTGCCGCCGCGGACTGTGAGCCCCGCTGAGGCCGGTGCAGGGGCACCCCCGGGACACCCCCCGAGATGGCAAGGCAAGCGTGGGGGAGGACAGGAGGCCCCCCGGGGCCGAACGACGACCCCCACAGCCCACCTCCCGCGGGCACGCTGATAGACCCGCGCATTTCAGTGGTGAGGGGCAGCCCCCAGACAGTGGTTTTCCATCAAGGCTCGGATAACGGTGATGGTGATGATGGCTAAGTTCCAGCAACCCCTTTCTGGCAGCGGGCGTTCTGTTACACATACATTTTCTCCATTTAACCGCACATCAAACCTAAGACCCTCACTATGCCTGCCAGTGTTTTACCGATAAAGAGACTGAAGCTTAAGTTAGAGAAGTTGCGGAAGGCGCGATGGGGAGTAACCGCGGGGCTGATGATGCCAAAGACCCTCGGAGCACCACCTCCTGGCCTGCGCTGTCCGCCAGCCACGAGTGCGCCGGGTACCGGGGTCCGCTGCCGGAGTGTTCTCACCCTCGGCGGGATCGGCCCGTCCCCAGTGCGGGTGCTCCGTGTACCTAGGAAAGGTGCCTCCAGGGCCCCGGGCGGCGATCAGCAGCCCGCCGCCCCCGGCCCTAACCCTGAACTGGGAGATGCGCAGACGTGCTCTCGTTCAGAGTTTGCCTCTCAGCCTTTGTCCTCCAGACGAAGTCCCCGGTTCTCAGAGGGCCCCCCTAGGGACACTGCTACCTGTCCTGGACTGGCCTCCAGCTGACTCCTCCCTGGAGAACCCACTCAGCCTGTGCTGCCCCCATCTCACCCCTCCGAGAGCCGTGAGGCCCCCAGCACAGGCCCCGTGAGTGGACACTTGTTACCTGTTTCAAGAATAAAGAAATGAATGTGGCCTTAATTTCCTGGACCTGCTATAACAAAGTGCCACAACCCAAGTGGCTTTAAAACAGCAGAAACTTCTCTCGGGCTCTGGGGGCCAGAAGTTTAAAATCAAGGTTTCAGCACAGCCATGCTCCCTCCTCCCAAGGAGGAGGGTCCTTCCCACCTCTTCCAGCTTCTGGTAGAGGCGGGGCAGTCTTGGAGACCTTTGGCTGGTAGTGCATCACTCCCGTTTCTGCAGAGCACCACCCCCCCCCCGCCCCGCCAAAGGCCCTATTTCCAAATTAGGTCATGTTCCCGGGCAAGGGGATTAGAACTTCAGCAAATCTTTATGGAAGACACAGTGCAACCCCAAACAATTGCTAAGGGCAATTTTCTTGTGGTCTGATTTTCCAGGAAAACGAAAGCTCTTGGGGCTTGGCTTCCCACTGCCAGTAAAAGGCCACCAGTGTTTGTGAGGTGGTGCGGCCCTGAACACTGCAGAGAGGTACTTGTTTCACCCGTGATTCCTTTCCCTTTTTTATTAGTCCATCTGTGATGCTTTTGTGGTCAAGTGTGACTGTGTTGGGGCTTCCTTGGTGGCTCAGATGGTAAAGAATCTGCCTGCAATGTGGGAGACCTGGGTTCGATCCCTGGGTTGGGAAGATCCCCTGGAGGAGGGCACGGCAACCCACTCCAGCATTCTTGCCTGGAGAATCCCATGGATAGAGGGGCCTGGCGGGCCACAGTCCATGGGGTCACAAAGAGTCAGACACGACTGAGCGACTAAGCACACCGCACAGTGACTGTGTGTACTCCAGGCGTAAGTGCCTCTGTTTCCCTTTCACGTTAGGTGTTAAAATGGAATATTAACTTAGAATATAGCCTCTCCCTCCACAGCCATGGCCAGAAGCATTCTGGTGTCAAAATAGGTCAGGCTGGCCTCGGGCCCTCACTGAAGTCCAGAGGCCTCTGATGGTCCCTAAGACTCAGCACAATCCAGCCCCACCTCCCCTTCGATGGCGCTCCCTACACATGGCCGCCTGCCCTTCCCAGAAATGCGACTCGGGCTTCCACATCCCTGGCTTTGCTGTCATTCCCAGAATCCCCTCCCCATATCCAGCTTTTCTGTTGACATTCCCCCAGTCTCTCTTTTATTTAATATTTATTCTTATTTATTTGGCTGCACCAGGTCTTAACTGCAGCATGCAGAATCTTTTTTTAGCTGTGGCAGGTGGGATCTAGTTCCCTGACCAGGGATTGAACCAGGGCACCCTGCATTGGAAAACAAAGTTGTAGCCAGTGGACCATCAGGGAAGTCCCCTTCCCCCTGTCTGAAAGGCCAAGTTCAAAGGCCACCTCCTCCAGGAAGCTTTCTTGACCTTCCAGCTCCTTCTCAGAAGGCTGGAGGCCCTGGCTGGCCTTCAGTTAAGGCACTGCTTTGAAGCAAACTTGTCTTTCTTTCACTCCCCCTACTCCTACTAAGCCGTAATGGAGAGGCGTCTAGAGACCATTTCATACAAGGAATAACTGAGTTGTTCTTTTACTTAGAAAAGAGAACACTTCCCTGAGTCATGTGCCCAAGTTTCTTTCAGCTGCTAAGATTGTCAGACCATGAGATCCTTGTAGAAACTATACCTGGACTTCTTTGGAGGTCCTTTACACACACACACACACAGCACAGCACACACACACACCTGTGCCCAGCACAGACCAGTGCTCAAATATAACCTCCTACCCAGTATAAAAGGTCTCTCTCTTGTGTCCCTCTCTTTGGGGCTTCCCTTGTGACTCAGCTGTTAAAAACCTACCTGCAATATGGGAGACCTGAGTTTGATCCCTGGGTTGGGAAGATCCCCTGGAAAAGGGAAAGGCTACCCACTCCAGTATTCTGGCCTGGAGAATTCCATGGACTGTATAGTCTATAGGGTTGCAAAGAGTGGGACACGACTGAGCAACTTTCACTTTGACTTTTAGGTGGCGTGGTAGGCAGAATTCTAAGGTGGCCCCCAAGATTTCCTGCACGCCAGGAAATTCCTGCACTGAATATCCCCAGGGCTATGACATGATGCTTTCACTCCTGTGATGAGGCTGTGTTCTGTGGCACAGTTGGCCTTAAAATAGGGAAGTTGTCTGGGTGGGAGCAGTCCTAATCACATGAGTCCTTTAAACACAGAGTCTTCCTCAGCTGGTCACACAACGGGAAGTCCGAGAGCTCTCAAAGTGTGAGAGGGATTTGACTCGAGACCAGAGGGGCCCCGTGGCAGTGAGCTGCCTCTGGGGGCGGAGAGCTGTCCACACCAACGGCTAGCAAGACGGGGGAACCTCAGTCCTACAGCCGTGAGGGAGTTAGTTCTTTGGAAGCTGGGAAGCCGCTCGTTCCCTCGTGGAGCCTGCAGATGTGGATGCAGCTGATGAGATCCTGGTTTCAGCCTCAGAGACCCCGAGCAGAGGGCCAGCTAAAATGTGCTGGACCCTTGGAAACCGTGAGCCAGTAAATGGATGTCATGTACTCTGTTCTGTTTGTGATCATTTGTCACACAGCAGTAGAAAACTAATCCTACCCCCTGGGCCCCTCCCAGGGCAGAGCTTCTCAACTCTGCTGCAGGTAAATAGCTCTAGTGGCTGGAGGCACTTTCTTCTTGCAACTTAAAAAAAATTAAAGCAATAAGGAGAAATTTTGCCCTACGAGGTATTTAAAGTATATTTTAAAGCCAGAAGAATCAAAATTGCCTGGCATTGGGCTCGGGGATATAGGTAGATTAATCCAATCATGCAATACAATGGACCCAGAACTAAATATATAGATATGAAATCTTTGTTCATGATAAAAGAGGCATATCAAGAACTAAATTAGAATAAATAATGTTTAATTAATGGTGTTGGACCACTGATGTATCCATTGAACTAAATTAGTGAATAAATAATGTTTAATGAATGGTTTTGGACCACTGATGTGTCCATTGAACTAAATTAGTGAATAAATAATATTTAATTAATGGTGTTGGACCACTGATGTATCCATTGAACTAAACTGGTGAATAAATAATGTTTAATTAATGGTGTTGGGCCACTAAGGTATCCATTTGGAAAAATTAAGTTAGATCCTTCAACCACAGCTCACATATAAATTAAAACTGGATTAACTGACTAAAATAAAGAATTTAACAACCATACAATCTGTAAAATACTAGAGTGTTACATAAATATAGAAGAATATTCTTATAATCTTTGAGTAAGGAAGGCTTTCCTACGCAAAACATAAAACAGAAGCTGTTAAGGAAATATCTGAAAAATGTAACTACATCCATTCAAACCTTCATGTAGACACTGGGACCAATAACACAGCTAAAAGCAAGAATCAGGCTGAAAGAAATCATTCATACATACATAACAGACAAAGTAGGGCTTCCCAGCTGGCTCTGTGGTAAAGAATCTGCTTGCCAATGCAGGAGACACAGGTTCAATCACCGCATGGGGAAGATCTCCTGGAGGAGGAAATGGCGACCCACGCCAGTATTCTTGCCTGGATAGTCACACGAACAGAGGAGCTAGGTGGGCTACAGTCCATGGGGTCCCAAAGAGTCAGACATGACTGAGTGAGCACACATGCAACAAAGGATAAATATCTAGGTCCAAAATACATAAAAGCTTACACTGATAAGTTAAAAAAATTACAATTCACCAAGGAAGTAAATAAACTATAAACATATGAAAAGCTTCTAAACTTACTAGTAATCAGGACAAGGCAAACTAAAATAAGAGTGAGACATCACTCTGGACCCAGTGTAACTGGCACGATTTCTAAGCTGATAATATCTAAAGTGGGCAAGAGTGAGGGGATACAGGTACTCTAATGTTCATTTGTTGGGACTACAAAATGATAAGACCTTCTGGGAACAATTTAAAAATTTAAATCGGCAAATTCTTTAATCCAACAATTCTACTGTAAATGTCTATCCCAGAGAAATATTTTTAAAAGGCCCGTGAAAGACATTTATTGTAGTATTTTCATAATATCCAGAAAAGTCAAATATCCAATAATAGAACAGTGGTTAGATAAACTGTGGGACATCCACATGGTGGAATACTGCAGTTACTGTGTTAAAATAAGGCAGGTCTATATAGACTAACATAAAAAGGTGTGTATATATCAGTAGATGAAGATAGGAACTTTCAGAATACTGACATATATTTTCTATTGTTTCTGAGACCCACATTTTATCCCCTTTCAACGTCTCTGAAAATGAGAAGTCACCTTATAATCAGCGGCATCTAAAGTGCTACTGGTCCAGTGCCTTTACTGCCTGAGTGTACGTGAACTCTCAGAATTTCAGGTAAATCATTAAAGGACTGTTGGGTGAAGAAACAAGAATCGTGTCTGTTGTCTGAAAACTTTGTTAAACATCTCATAAGATTAAGAAAGTGACAGCTTCAAAAACTGCAGAATGGGTGCCAACAACTTAGAAGAAACTCCCTGAGACAGTCGTGAAGTGGTCTTTTAAGAAATGCTGGATCCAAGACTCTTGATGGTGTGAAGAAGACATGGTATGTATTAATAGTCATGGGCCATTTGGGGTCAGAAGAGATTCCAAAGAGTCAGATTCTGAGCATTCAGAAATTTTAGCAGACACCTGAACCAACTTATTTATATTTAAAATATGTATTTCATGTAAAATATGTATTTCAGGTATTAACATGAAATATAATACCCAAAAAAACCCCTTTGTGTAAATAAGTCTAAGATTCTTCCAATAAATGTAAAAGAAAAATTATAAAGCAAAAAGAAAGCATGTGGTAAAATTTTTGTTTAGATTTACAAAAGGTTTGTGAAGTTATTTCGAAGAGTTCCCGTGTACTCCATCCCAGTTTCCTTTATTATTCAGTTCAGTTCAGTCACTCAGT